GCGCGGGGTCTGCTGCTCACATCAGCACCCGGCCGGTCACGTGGGCGCCGCGCGTCACCCGCGGCTGGGGGGGCGCCTCGCCCCCCCTTCCCCACCCCTACCCCCACCCCCGAGTGATCTGGGGAGCTGAGGGGCAGGGGACACCAAGAAGAAGAGGAGAGGGAGGCTTCCTAACCCCAGGTGCTTTACCTGGCGCATCTCAGGTCTCAGCAAGGCAGCCCTCTTAGACATCCCTCATTGCCAAATGTGACAGCTGAGGCACAGGGAGGAGACCCGACTTTGCCAGGCGCACTCAGCTTCCAAGTCCCACAGCCAGCTTTCAAGACCAGCTCTGCCTGACTCCAGAGACCCGGTGGTGGTGCCTACCAGGAAGCTGTGCTGCCACCTTGAGTGGTGTGTTCCTCGGGGTTCAGTCCTAATCCACCTCTCTTCTCAGTCCACGTGTTCTCTCTCCCTGGGTGATCTCGGTCCCTTCCCTATAAGTGGTGACGACACCCAAATCTACGTCTCCAGGTTATTCCCCTCCCTTAAGTCTCAGGCCCGTTTTTTGCCAATTGTCTATTGGACATCACTGTCAGTATGTTCCTGAGAGACCTCAAAGTCCCTATACCACAAACTGATTTCACCAACTTCCCTCTCCCCCTCTAAATTCTCCTCTGTCCACATCCTAAACTTACCCTCAAACAGTTGACCTGTTTTCATCTCGAGAGAATGACAGCTGAAAACGAAAACATCAAAACATTTTTTAATATGGACCTCAGAAGTACAGATTAATCATAGTCTTTGATTCACAACATTCTCCATATGAACTATGCTTGTTTCTCCTTCCTTTCCTTTCTTTTTATGGTTCATGCTCTTGAAACCACCACCCAACCCAAGAACTAGAAATCTGTCGATCGATATTATAGTTGCTACTGTGCAATGCCATATATATGTGTTATCTGTATATGTGTGTGTGCGTGTGTGTATGTGTGTAAATTTGGACTAGAGTTTATATTTTGATTTGAAGAATACCACATCTTGCTTGCACAATTATGAATTAATATGTGTAACAACATAATTCTGGTTATATTTCTGCTACATATGTTTATTCTAGTAAAACATTTTTACCACAATGCCCTGCTACACCAAAATGTGTATTCATATTACCACCATAAAACAAATAATTGCATCCTCTTTATTGATTTTTAAGTGAATTCACAATACCATTGATAACAATGCTAGATGTTTCCCTTTCACCAGTATGAATTTCCAAAATATTATTATTCCATGAAGGTTATGAAAAAAATCAAAGCATTGTTGAAATTAACTGATTTTCTGTTTTAATCATCTGATGATATTGATTTTAAACTGTTACAAATAATTGTTCAATAAGTTCTTCTGCTAATGGAACCAAGATATTAATGGCTATCACTCCTATTTTTGAACATACATACAAAACTTAGAATTAAAAATTAGAATAAATTAGAAGAAAAAAATCATTTGATCAAAATTAGAATTTCTGCTTCATGGAATGAGAAGTCAATGCAACTTTTGCATCTGCATTACCAAATTGACACGTTCTTCTTAAGATAACTACTACCTTCTGAAGTAAATGCTAATGATTCTTCAGCAGGTTTGTAACTTATGGTTTTCACGAAGTCAGTGATATCACTATAGAGTCGCCTTCGTGCATAGTAAGTGCAACTACTTCGTGCAAGTTAAATGTTTATCATAAACTTTGTTAAGGAAAGGAAATTTGGTAGTTAATTTTACATTAAATTTGCACTTTCGTTTCTTATTGTAAAATAGAAAAGAATTATTCCAAATAATAAAATAAGGAGTTGTAGAATTACACCGTATAATAAATGACAAAACCACTGTAAGGGAGAATGTTCATGCCCCACAAAAGGACAGCTCAGCCTCTACTTCCCACACATATTTTACATTCACTTAACCTATAATTTTCCATGTTTCCCTCTGTAAGGTGCAGAAAGCAATTTGGCCTTTTGTTCTGGGTTCCTGAGAGCCAGACCACCTAGGGGCCAGATATTGACTAAGCCTCTTGAGCCCTGATATAATTTATCATACCCACGTTGTAAGACCAACGAAGGCTTTGTAAGATGGAGGCTCAGTGAAGCTTCTGGGTTGGACAGAACAAACATCTGCTCTAGAGAGGATAAGTGAGTCCTCTGGGGACATGGAAGCTCTGCACTGGGACTCCTCCCAGACCTCACTCTATGTGTCTCTTCGTTCTTATCCTTTTTTTGTTATATTAAAGCTGTTATCCTGGGTATGGTGTCTCCTATGAGGTCCGGGAGCCATTCTAGTGAATTATTTGAACACGATGGAGCACTGGGAGCCAGCTGGTCTGAAGTGGAGGGAGTCATGTGGACTCCTGAGCTTGATGCTGGTACCCACTATCCTAGTCTTGGTTGACTGGGGATGGCAGAGAGAAGTGGCTGGCTGGTCTGAAGTGGGGGGAGTCAAGAGGGACTCCCAAGCTTGTGGCCGGTACCTGCTGACCCAGTCCTGGCTGGCTGTGGGAGCTGCATGGAGCAGCTGCGGTCTGAACTGAACAGAGAAGGGAAGCTGAGATTTCCAAACAATGCAGCGGGTGTATGCAGTGGGATTTGTTATCCACCACACCATTTGGCTTCAGAAGTGGGTCCTGTTAATTTCGCTGGACTGTTATGCATAATTGGCATAGTCAGCAGGATCTTCCAGAGTGGCCACTGTTACCCTCTGACCCTGTTTTCTGGCAGCCTGGCTGTTTCATGCATTTTGGATGTCTATGCCATGTGTCATGGCCCAACTAGCTAATCACCAATGACCAGCAGAGGTAGCAACATCAAATATGTCTCCCACCACCACCCAAGACAAAAGGAGTAGCTCTCCCTAGCCACTCCTGTATAAATCTACTTCACGTTAACAAGAGTGCCCTGCAGAATGTCCTTGAATGGGAGATGCTAGTTATGTTGAATTAGGAAAGAGTCAGTAGAAGAGACTGGTTATCACTACTCACTGCGAATTCATCTTTCATACTACCAGACAAAACCATGGCAAAAGTGCACGTAAACTGCTGAGGTCTATGATAGGCTGAATAATGGCCCGCAAAGATATCCAGGTCCTAATCCCTTGAACCAGTGAAGGTTCCCTTATTTGATAAAACAGGACTTTGCAGGTGTTATTAAACTAAGTATCTTGAGACGAGGAGATTATCCTGGATTATTCAGGTAAGACCTAAATGTAATTACAAGTGTCTTTATAAGAAGAAGGCAGAGGGAGATTTGACTACAGAAGGAAAAGGCAATGTGATGAAAGAAACAAGCTGTTATGCTGCTGGGTTGCAAGATGGAGGAAGGGGCCCAAATTTAAGGAATGCAGCTCCAGAAGCTGGAAAAGGTCAAGAAAGGGATTCTCTCCTAGGGCCTCTGGAGGGATCACAACCCTGCCTACATGTTGGTTTTGGCCCAGTGAAACAGTAAGAGAATTAATGTGTGTGTTTTTTAAGCCATCACATTTGTGGTTATTTGTTACAGCAGCAATAGGAAACTAATACAAGGTGTACTAAAACTTCTGTGACTTACTTTAATGCAAATATTAGTAATAATAATATTTTGTTTAAAAATGAAAAATTCTGGACAAGTGTTAAACTAGATGGAATGGCAGATCAACAGGCAATGATTAGAACTTTTCAGGGTATACCATTCTTATCCTAGAGATAATCCAGGTAAAGCCACTAG